TCGCCTCTGTTTTGCTCGGGGCGCCCTCTCTGCCGCGGGCTATGGGCGCCTTTTTCGGATGTCGGGGGGGGGGGGCGGCCGCCCCCGTCGCCCCCCCCCCTGGATCCGCGCCTGTAAATAATGGGGAAGTAGGAATTTCATCTTTCATACTCAACGCAGCCTAATAATGAAAAACACAAACAAATAATCACGGTGACTATAAATAGGAACATAGTATTAATTAATATAATATTAACACAATATTAAGATTAAAGTGTAAAATATCAAATGAATATGATATTAACTGTTGCGCCGGTACGGCATGTGGTAAATCTCTTCCCAACCTTGGGCTGTGAAAATGCAGTTTTATTCACCTTTCATTTATTGACTGGCACTTCGGCCTGCACAGGTCATTTCGTGCCATTGCCCTTCATGCGATTATACATGGCACAGCAGTTTAGTACACTTGCATATCAATACATATAACATACACATCAACATTCAGCAATACATTTTACAGACATATGTGCGTTAGGTACAATATATGGTGTTTCATAAGTGTTCATGAGATAAGAATTGTCATTTGCACATTGCTCATTTAGATGGAGTCGTAGAGGTTTGTAGCTCTCAAGAAAGTAAAAACCAAATTTAACAACACAGGGTTATCATTGCCAAGCAGCGTACTAAGAGCAAAATTAATATTGTTCAATTGGCAGTGGTGTTGGAGAGCGTGTCTCTGTTGTCTATATTTTGGGCATTGCAGAAGCACATGCGAGACTGTGATATGCTCATCGCAGATGTCACATCTTGGTCGGGGGTTTTGAGAAAAAAGGTGAGAGTGTGTCAAGTATGTGTGCCCTATTCTAAGCCTGCATAGTTTCTTCTCCTCTTGTCTATTGTTTCTACATGAGGAGCGCCAAGCTTTAGTGACAGGTTTAATCGTGTGCAGCTGTGTCGTTGATGTGTCCGCCTGCCACTGTGCCTGCCAGTGGCTAAAGACCTTTCGCCGGATGTCCGATTTAATAGACTCAAAAGTAAGCGGCACGTCTGTAATTATGTCTAATGAAAGTGACTGTTTTGCATAGAGGTCCACGAGCTCGTTCCCTCGGATACCACAATGACTGGGAATCCAAAGAAAATTTATTTCAAAACCTGTGTTGTGTAGCTCTCGATGTAGGTTACGAATATCAACGAATATCGATGTAGGTTACGAATACCTCGGTTTTTTGCTACGGACCTCGTGCCTACCGGCACTCGGTCCTCCGCACAAAAACCTCGGTGAATAAAACGCATTTTCCCAGCCCCGGTCGGGAATATATAATCCCTAATGGAGACACATTTGATATGAATGTGGCCGAGGCTCATTTCGATTCAGCTCGGAGAGATAAGCTGAGTGGCGTATGTGTGCGAAGGCCGTGTTGCGCCTCTACGAGTATATCCGACCGGCCTCAGCGGCGATTCAGCACGCAGCTACCGATCTGCAGCCGTCTCTGTACGGGCAAAACACAGCACCGCGCCAGTAGAAACAGCCAGGGTCCGCCAACAAAGACGTCGGCACGGACAACGCAAGCTTCCACTGCGGACAGAATACAACAGAATACAGAGTCGAAACGGTAGACGGCAGACAACCAGTGACCACTGACCGGCATAGAGGCAGAGGCGGCACGGACAACGGCCAAATAGAATTGTTTTGTTTTGTTTTATTGGGTGAGGCCCTTTCGGTCCAATGAGACCATTTCAGAGCCGGGAGGATGATAGGATATAGGGGGAGACATTGGTCTGGGCAGTAGAGTTCTGCACGGCTGCAATTTTCCACAGCCTAGCCGCCCCGCAGCCGTGGCTCCACAGCCACAGCCGCCCACAGCCGTGGCAAACTGTGGGCAGCCAGCCGTCAGCCGGCCGTTGATACTTTCAATGAAATGCAACCAAATAGTATATACTAAGTTGTTTTTAGTTGAAACATATAGCCAAAGGCACATTGCAATGGGCTATAGATTCTCAAGCTCATGAAGCATCATAGGTTAAGTGGTTGTGTATCTGGCTTTAGGCCGAAGGCCTGAAGCCTGATGCGCAATGCATGCCTACACAAGCCCTTGCAAGTTGTTAAGAAAGATGGGTAGGTAGGTACCTACATCAACAGAAAACATAAACAACAAACCAGAATAGAAGCACTAGCAGTGTAGACATCTAATGCCAAATCCTGAAGCATGGTTGTGGGACAGAACAACAGACCCTGATGCTTTTCATTATCAATGTTAGGTATGGAAAATGAAACTGAAGTTGATGGACTGTCAAACAGTGATTGTCTAAGTCAAAACTCTTGCTTCTTTCTTACCTTGCATATTTTCTGGGGTGTGATATGCCAGGCTTGAAGCAGCCTTCCGAGCAAGTCTCAAACTAATTTGATATGCAAGGCATCAAAACACTAGTGAGCATCCAAGAAAGAAAAACATTCATCTAGTTTGATTTTTCCAAATAATGATCTTCGCTCAAATCCCCAAGGACGTGCGAGCCACAATTACCTGTTTCAATCAAAAATTTTACTTGAGTTTTTAATGACGTCAATAGAAAGGAAGTGGCAATAAATTGTTTTGTTTCACTATAAACAGCCATAAAAATTATAATTTTTTAAATAATAACGCTATGCAGTTAAAAACTTGCTCTAAAACAAAGATCAAGTATCAAATTTTTACATTTCTAGAAGAAGACGTCATTTTGTTAGTAAAGTCAACAGCTCGCGTAAGAAATATTGTGTTCAGGGTTTTCACCGTCATGTGAATTACGTGTTCAGGGTTTTCACCATCATGTGAATTAACCGTAAGTAAGGTTCATGCTCACTTATAATCTAATTCCATTGGCTTCATTGATCGGCATTTTCTGTTAGCGGTCACTCACACACCAGTTAGAACATAAAGCGCCAGTTTTATATTTTGTAATTGGACTTGCCGAAAATCCAGAAATTCATCTAAGAGGTATTTTAGATAATATTTTATGAAGCCTTTACCTGCCTTTACCTAGGCATGATTTCTTTTTCTATTACCTGAAAGAATTATTGAACGCTCGTCTTCAATAGCTGTAAGGTGCTCTCCTAATGACCAGGTGAGATTGATTTGAGAGGGATGTGACAATGCAACATGTTGCATTTTCTGAAACTGTCAAGCTCTTGATAATGAAGGAACAATTGGTACCTATTATTAGTATTCTGTACCAGAGTGCAAACTCCCCTACAGCAAATGGTAAAACCATTACAGGTTCTCAAAGGCTTCACCACTTTCAATGTTGCTGGGCATCCTTTGCATGATTTTTACAGGCTATACTGCTTATCAGAATGTAAGATTAAGGATTTAAAATTTTATATTTGAGTACTTAAGATTGAGCTTGAAATCTCACAGCCGTGGCCACAGCCGTAGCCGTGTTCTTGGAGATATTTGCAGCCGCCCCGGCCCACAGCCGTGGGGCTGCAGCCAGCCGCGGCTGCAGCCGGCCGGTGCAGACCTCTACTGGGCAGGCACCCTAGTCGCCGGGGCTGAGCCCGTCCAGAGGACAGGCCACCCAGCCCCAAGGCACTCACTGCACCCGGCTACGGGGTGCGCTCCCTCTCGGGAGCAGCGGTGCCACTCCAAGGGAGCAGCCCGCATGAGATAAAGTTGCCTGTCCAGTCCGGAGGGGGGTTGCGGCGTGGAGGAGAAGGATTTCAGTATCCTGAGGATAGAAGCACGGAACGGTGGCCAAATAGAATACAGCACGGTCAGCATACAGTAGACACTTCGGCAGTTTAGAGGCAGCGAGGAGACGGCGGCACGGAAAAGGACCGTTCCGCTCCACTGTAGCACGGGGAGCGGGAGACGCCGGACGGTCCGGGGAATATGTACCGGACGGTCCGGTGAGCCGAGGAAGATACCGGACCATTCGGTGGGCTGACAAAGCTGCCGCCTGTCTATACTGTGCGGCCCAGTGGAGCCAATACAGATACCGAGCGGTCCAGCGAGGTGTGAAGAGAAGATGCGATCGGGAGCGGTAAAAAATCAAACGTGAGTGAGGTAGGTAAGAGGCAGGTGGACATGCCGGGCAGATGAATGCAGGGCGGACAGACATCGGGACGAATGGATATTGGATACCGAGGCGAGTGGCTACCGGCCCGGGGCGGACGAATATCGGAGCAAACAGATACAAGGCGGATGGATATCGGATGGATGGAAGAGAGATGAGGTACAGATCTGAAGGCTGGGATGGCAAAAGGTGAACCGTCAGGACGAGGGCGTGGCTGCTACCTGCAATTTGTGATCTGTCCTCTGAGAGAGAAGCAAGCATCTGACTTCCTGGATCAATTACGAGCAAGTAGGTCATAGAGAGCTAAAACTAAAGTAGCTAAGTTGCATGCTGAACTTTAAAGCCAGATCCATCGCTGGTCAAGTGTTGTCCGAGCAATGACCTTATGAACATAGGCGGCGGAACGGGAGGGCACCGGGGCACCATGCCCCCCTTTGATTTTGGCATTTTAACATTAGCCATATGGGCGTTGCATGGAAAGAATGGGACCAAAAGTCGGCAGTGCCCCCCCCCTTAATTGAAGGTGTTCCGCCGCTACTGCTTATGAATGCAACATTCCACAGGTACGGATCCTTTCAAATGATCTGCACCTAGAAATGGGAACGCTGCTTGATTTTTTATGGCCAGTGACCACATTAAGATAAATAAAGAAAAAAAAGTTAGACACAGGGATAGATAGTGAGTGATATTGTTAGCTCTAATCCCTTGTTGTTTTGCTTCCTCGGAGCATCTGGACATGTAAGTACCAAGGTAATCGGGTGAGACTGCCGTCTGCCGTCCTCACCACGCTGATCCAAGGACGGACAGGCTGCGAGGCCCGGTCGGTCGGTCGGCCGGCAATTTTTGCGTTCGCTTACGGTGCTGTGTGTTGTGGAGCGGCACTGGCGGCGTGCGGCGGGCAGCGGCCAGCCTCCGCCGTCCGCCGGCCCGGCGCTCGGTCGACTCCAGTGCGGCGCGTGTGGCGTCAGTGCCTCCCCGGCAGCCGCGCCGGCAGGTGCCGCTCCTCAGACGACCGGTGTGACGCGCGGTGCTCCCAACCAGTGCTGCTGCCGGTGCTCTGTGCTTCGTCTGTGTTCCTGTGCTCGGTCTGCAGTCACCGTTGTTTCCTTCTGTGTGAAATTGCCGCGTTCAGCGTTGTGCTGCTGCAGCCACGGCTGAAGGTGACGGACAGCCAGGATGAACTGTTTCCGGAGGACCAGCAGCGTTCACAGCTGCAGTATTGTTCTGCTGGACGGCACGGAACTTTCCGAGGAGATCAGGGTAAGTGTTACAGGTGATTCTTCAGTCGGGGGCTTTGCATTGTGTAAGCGGCTCCGTTCTTTCAGTGTTGCTGGTGTTACCAATTGTTATTGTAGTTTGGAGATTCGCGACATGGATTGTGATGGTGCAAAACGAGGAATTCCCAGTATGGGACTCTGTTCCCATACTGCTTAGTGTTCACTGTTCAGTTGCTGAGTTATATTCCATGGAACACGTTTTTGACCACTTTGCTTCAGGACGTACAAATTGGCTACTTGCTGTGGTTAGTCTTACATTTAACCAGCCTGCAAGAACATTCACCCAAACCACATATAGCTACGACTAACGAGATGCCAATTTCGGAGAAATTCTACGTATGACATCCGCACTCAGCCGCACAATGCGATACCAACCTGCTAATACCACCATATATCTTTCAATCTCTAAAAATAAAAAGTCGCCCTGACCGCAGGAGTCCACTGACGTCTGTCGGCTGGTGAATGTGGTGCTCCTTGTGCTCCATTGTGATCCTGGCACGATGGTGACTCGTCGGATATTCCGGACACACGCTGAGTGATAATACCGGGGAGCCGACACCGCCGGGTGGCGTGATACATCGCCTCTCCGGCTTTTTAACTGCACATGACCATGCTCTCATGTATGTTATGATTGCGCTCTCTGCATAGGTTCCTAGTTCTTGCATTATGAATTATACTGTTGAATAGAAATTATCGTCGTTCCGCCAATATGATGAATAATGAGTGAGCCATCTGATTAACTTAGGTCTGAGCTTGAGGGATAAGCAGCATGGGAAATAACAAGCATAAACCAGACTGTAACCAAACATATGCGCCTCTCCTTCCTTAAAGCATTGAAGCACGATATGAACTGCGCGTTCCGGTACTCTTCCGTTTCAAAAGGTGGCCGGCGCTGCGGTGACTGCGATACAGCACAGCGCAGTAACCTTACATACTGTAGGTGGAGCACAAGACCGTGCGCCGCAACCTCGAAGGCAGGGCCTGCAGAGTGCAACTAACCGAATAAAGGCTGCTTTGAAATGCTGTCATAATCTGACCGATCAAAGTCACAACAGCTTTTATTTGGGGGTGAATAAGCGAGTAGTCGCCCCATCTGTCTGTTGTCCAGCAGATCAGTGATCAGCTTCTAAATCGCTATGAAAGAAATAAAGAATAGCACATTTGCTTCTGCATTCTGTCAAAATAATGAAGCATATATCATTTTAATCATAGCAAAAACAAACTTGTCAATTTGCGTAAGACTAATGGCCAACCATCAAGTTGTGCTAAATGGCACGTCAGTGCTTTATGGACGACGGAAACCGCAATAACGGCTCGACAAATTCAGCAAAGGATAAGCATAAATTTGGTTTCAAAGCCAATTAATCATTATCGAATTACATGCATAGTGCCAAGCCAAAAGCTCATTACAATGATGATTTAATTATGGTTCAACGACCGTCAGCCTAGGCCTTTGGAATCTCTTACATCTTGAAACTGACAGCTGGGTTTGTGTTTACTTCTAAAACCGAAGGTTGCGTTTAGCAATGAATTAGTTAGTTATAAACGAAGCGTACTAAAGCGTATGTTTCGGAATGGGATGGCAATATTGGACATTTGTAGCAACATCATTTAAGCGTCCTTGGACGCCCAAACTCCGAGCTTTGCAGCGCATTGATCTGTTGCAATCGCAACACGTTTTCTCACTCGGTATTTCCTGAGACCGTACTATCAGCCGTGGATCTGGCATTCATTCCGTCGCAGTCGTTCTTTCGCTCTCTTAATTGGTCATTTGAAACCGTATAAGGCTGTAAGCACTCTACATGCTCCATGACTTACCACGTCGGGTAGATGAGTCATTAATATTTACCATAACTTGAATTCGTAAATCGGGTAGTGAGGGACATAAATAAGCAGCAACACATTATATAATCATTATTCACCAATAGCACAGGAAGTGAGAAACTATAGGTAGGGGATAATTCCTAGGAATTTCTATAAGATGAGTACATGCGAAATATACAGCTGTTCAATTTTAAATGGTAATGATTGAAGAATGAAGACGAGCATCCAAGGGCCTCAATATTTATATTAGCCTATGCAATACAATTATACATTGAAAGTTAATTCTTAAATACCATCTGAAAGGAAAATAGGAAAAAGAAAACAACTGAACTACTCAAACACTATGAACATGGAACGAGCCGTACATATTCGTCCGTCTACATACCTGCCAGGGCATCGCAACTTTTTGCTTCAAGAAACCCTAATGAGTTGGGCGGCCTCCTGCCGCTTTGAACTGCTTTATATGCCTTCATTACCTCGGTCGTCTTCAGTCATGCTTTTTGGTGACGCCACGATTGCATGATAAGATATTTATGGACGGAGTGCCCACCATTCTGGTATAACATTTCTAGATGACAGCCTCGATGGCCAATGATGGTGACGAGGACCGCGACGAGGCGGGGACTGGTGACGGTGTGACTTGCTCAGTCATCGATGTTAGAATTCGGTGATCATGAGATGGACGTGGGAAACAGTGAGAAACTTGTGCGGCTTGGCCACTTGAGACTTGTTTTAAAGAAGATGTAAGTTTTTCACGAGCTGTCGATAGGACGATTAATTTTAGGAGGATAAGGGATTAATTTCAACTGTCAGCACCCCACCAGAAACGACAAACCATTTCCAGCAGTTTACCAAGCAAACGCAGGCGATTAAAATTTTATGGAAGCACTGTAACTCAGTACAGCTGAGTCTCACGGTCACTGTCTAACGGCCCACTTCATTTCACCGTCTCCCTCCTCCCCCGCGGCTCGGCCGACCGCCGCTAGTGCCGGGTATTCCGTCCGCGCCGCCCCCGGCCGCTCCCATACCTCAGTTTATTGTCCATTGTCGTGCCATAACCCGGGGCCACGCGGTGACTGTCCGACTTACGTCATCAGTTCGCCGAGGTAGGATTTCAGTTACAGTTCGACAGCCGCCTGTCAGGAACTCCAATCCCGCGCGGTGCCGTGACGGGTGGGCCACGGCTGGTCGGAATCGGGGGCGCGTTGATCGGATGAAATCAGAGCCACTTACCCCGTTTACATGACTCATTCAGCCTATACGGAAATATCCGATTAGCCAGGGAACGGAAAAATGCGTTTTGGTGGCCCCGTTTACATGAGCCTTATCGGAAAAATCCGTTCCGGAACGGATAATTCCCTTTACGCCGGCAGCCCGAAAAAAACGGATATTTTGCGCATTTTTACATGTCTGGCGCAGCTCCTATCAAGCATTATTTGTGCCTGTTTTAGGCTTAGTTTACTTGATTCTTTAAAGTTTTGTATGTAGAATTGGAAATAATCATGGCACAAGCCATTATTTTACTTGTGTGCTGTAAAAGAAGCGTGATTAACTGTCAGAAAGCAAGAAAACAATTGAGGTCTTGGACAACATTGAAGAGCACATCTATATTGAAGGTCTTTTTGGTTTCAGAAAAAGGCTAAGACAGCTCATAATAGTCATAGCTCATCATGATGGACCTCCAGTAAGTTGACAAAATGAAAATGCATGAAAGGATGTGCAGGATGGTGCCACACTTCAGAAAACGTTTGTATGAAAGTGGGTGGTGCGGGTTTGTGTGTACATTTTTGGTTGACACATTTGAAGCACTGGAATATTCCAGCATTTTATTTTCATTTTGTGCTTTTAGCTGCTCAGTTCTTCAAAGACAGAGGTCAGATCAGTACTAGGTGAATTGTGTAGTAGATGTGACCTGTGCTGTGCATTGCTTGACTGTCGGGTGCAACACAGTATCCATCAGTTCCATGTGTTTTAGTCATAACAGAAATTACATCTAACATCTACTCACCACCAAACTTTGAGACACTATCAGTGCAATTTTCAAAATGCATAGAATAATCCACTCTCAATCACACCAGGTAAGATGTGAAGATGAAGTCCGAGTGGTACCTACTACCTATGTGGTTTGGTAGGTTGGTTGACCTTGTAGATTGGTAGGAAGTAGTTTGGTATAATAGGTTGTAGGCATGTAGGTGTGTTTGTAGGATGGTAGGTTGAAAGTTAGGTTGGTAGGTAAGGTTAGGTATGATTCTACAAATTCCACAAAACTTGCCAGTTACCTGCTTCCACCATCCGAGATTAACCAAACTTTAAGAGACCTTCCCACCACTGAAGAATCTACTTCTTTGGAACAATTATCTAAGTACATTTAAATATTGGTGGTGGTGGTGGGGGGGGGGGGGCAGATGGCAGTGTCACTGAGTAAATTTGGCTGTGTGTCTTGTGTATATTTTGGCATGCAGCCAAGTTCCTGTCCCAACCAGCCTGCGTGCCCTGCCGTCTGGTGGCTGTTCGCTGAAGCATAAGTTATCTGAATCACTGCTAGGAAGTTTGCAGTACCTAGGTAGAGAAAATTTTTGGGAGCATGTACTAAAGCAAAATAAATCAAGCATCATATCCAGTGTACTAAGCACTAAATGGCACTACCATGCTGTTCCAAGTGGCTATAGGGAGCGACTGGCTGGGAAGGCTATGTTGGTTGCCCTGGAATTGAACCCTGATTGTTGAATCTAAGAAATAAGGAAATTACCCCTCAACTAGAATGCTTCCGTTTTGAAGCATAGGACGTTCCTCTCAACACTTATGTAGGTACTTCATGAATCTGCCACAATGGCGCGAAATCAGGGGCAAAAAGTGGATTTCATTGTCATTAGACCTACCATTCAACATAAATATGTATTTTGATGTGTAAACTAAAAAATTTCATCTATAAAACATGCATATTCATGTCATTTTCTGCTAGATGCGCAAAAAATCCGTTTAGGCCTGACGTCCTAAACGGATTTTTCCCATTAATTCATCGGATAATTCCGTTCCGCGTAATCGTCATTTTTGCGCGCCCAATCCAGTTTACATGAGTCGAAACTTGCGCACTTTTCGCTAAACGGAAATATCCGTTCTAAACGTCATTTTCGCTGACTCATGTAAACGGGGTAACTG